TCTTGGTGTAATTAGGGTATCCATAGCTGAGTTTTTGGATTAGCTCAATTTTACAGAGAGTGCACAGTGAAGGTAGTCAGGAAAGCACTAAACTGTCAAATTTGGTGTTACTAGCCTCTCTTTAGACTGTTAACTTTCAGCACAAAGGATAACACAAGATTTCACATTTTAAGTGTTTACTGTCACAGAAGACTAAAAGTTCTATTGACTAAACACTATGTTTGTAGGTAACCTATACTTCAAATCCCAGAAGAAAACGTCCATCTTTTCACTTTTAGCACAACTAACCAAATCATACGTCACAGGTATATTTGGTACTCTTGAAGTCACATTCAATACTCCCAGAACCATTGCAAAATCTTTTCAACCTGGTAACTTGTAATCACAGAACTAGGTCTCACAGTGAGGCATTTTCCTGGGAGATACCTCCTCTAACCCAAGGTAAGTAAATCCTCCAGCCTTGCTTGAACCACACCCAAATTGGATCTTTACAATCAGACTGAGAGTTTCCAACTACATTCTCATGTGGTGAACAAAAGAGATGTTTGTCTAGTTGCTCTCTCTCTCTCTCTTTCTCCTGATCCTGGCAAACTGGCTGCATTTGAAAGTTTCAGGATATCATAGAAACCTTTCCTTTATCAAAACCAACCTTTCATTACAGCTTGAATCCCTGGGCCCTATATCCAAACAGAAAAGCTTATTTGCAATTCTTTTGACCCTGATTCTTTTCTCATTTTTTTAAAAAAGTAAAATAGCTGTTTAAAGCATAACTGAATTGAATCTGTCATTCCCAAACACTTCCTTTTATTTTAGAAATTACCAGTTTAACCTCTGTAAGCATAGATGTTGCTGCCATTGTCTTCAAATGTGAATGGTTAATGCCTTCTTCCCAACAAAATATTCTGGGATAACACAGTGTGGAGCTGCAGGAACACAGCAGGCCAGGCAGCATCATAGGAACAAGAACGTTGATGTTTTGGGTCAGAACTTTCCTGCTCTTCTGATGCTGCCTGACCTGCTGTGTTCCTCCAGCTCCAAACAGTGTTATCTCTGACTCCAGCATCTGCAATTCTTACTATCTCAAAATAATCTGGACCTTGCTTTAATTTTAATTCAATCAAGACTGTCTCTAAGCAGGCAGTAAGAGGTCACATGATTCCCCTTCATTTTATCCTAAAGACCTAGTCCCAAACAACTAAGGTTTATAACAATTTAATGTAACCCTGGAAGCAACAATAATATAAAAGAGCATTTCAACAACAGATATGCCAAGGCAACAATAGACTAGCAATATCACTGAACTGAAATTAGATGGTTTTAGTGGATATCACATTCAACGTCAGCAGCAATTACTCACTAATGAGTATGATTGTCCATCTAGGATATTCCACATCACTGGTCATCGATTCTGTGGGTCCTTGCATGGACTGATGAGACCAAGCCTAGAGCTTAATCTCCAACCATTTGGCAGGTGTTTCTAAGATATGGAAACTGGTCCTTGGCCTCAAGATCATTGGCATTCCCTTCTCCAGTTAATTTTCTGTACTTCCTCTTGCTGGCATATGTTCTTAAAGAATTGTGTCCCTTTCTACAGGAGTTTCATCCAAGTCAACTTCTTCTGAACAAGGATTTCCCATGTGTTGACATCTATGTTGCATTTCCTGAAGGAAGCCTTAGGAGGTTTTTGAAACACTTTCTTTCTCCTATCCTTGTTCAAGTGCCTTCCTTTCACATTAGGCTACTTTATAAGACAAAAGCCCATTGTATTGTAGGTAGTATATTAGCATGGATAGAGGATTGACTAACTAATAGAAAACATAAATTTGAGATGGTGGATGGGGAAGGTGGAGCATTTTCAGAATGGCGTGATAAATGGTGATAAGGTATTCCATGATGGAATAATCATTAAAAAAAAGTATGATCCAGTCAGTCCATGGAAGAGTAATGTCAGGAAGCAGTGCATCATATAAAAGGCAGTGGCAATCTGGAACTCTCAACCCCAATAAGCTGTTAAGTGGGTAGACTGAAAATTTTGAAACTGAGATTTGAATATTTTTCTTGGGCAGGAAATCAAGAGATGTGAAAGCAAAGTGGATAAACGGAGTTCCTACCAGTTGCAAGTACAAAAGCTTAAAGCAATATAATTAGTGTAAGCATAAAATGTTTGCTATTCTACGTCTGAAGTCATGGAATGATTTTCTGTGCTGTTTTATTTTAAATAAATTTTTTAACATTTAAATATGCCATAGAAATCTTATCAAGTGTAACTTTTGCAGCTTTTAGGTTCATTAATTTATCTTCCAACTATCACCATTTGTATTACTTTCCAACTAGATCAATAACATACGAAGTGGCATTCACTGATGATTGCAACGTTCAACTGAATTCACAACTGCTCAGATAACGAACCAGTCTGCACCTGCATGCAGCGAGACCTGGATAACATTCAAGTTTGGACTGATAAGTGTCAAGTAACATTTGTGCCACACAAGTACCAATCAATGACCATTTCCATCAAGAGAAAGTCTAACCACCTCTTTCTGACATTCAACAGCATGGCCATCACTGAATTCTCCATCATTGACATCCTGGAGGTCATCGATGACCAGTAATTTATCTGGATCAACCACATCAATAGTGCAAGTAGTGGGTACAATGTGTTGCAAGAGCAGGTCAGAGGCTGGTACGTTGTGGCAGGTAACTCTTCTTTACTCCCAAAAGTCCTTCTGATGTCTGCAAGGCACTAGTCAGGAATGTGATTCAATATTCTCCACCTGTCCAGATTAATACAATTCTGACCGCACTCAAGAAACTTAATGACATCCAAGACAAAGCGGGCAGCTTCACAACTACAATTTAAACATTCACTCACCTGTCACTGTAGGCATGCAAATGAATACACCAAGCACTATTTACAAGATGTACTTTAGCAATTCGTCAACACTTCAACAGAAATTTCTGAACTTATTACCCCTACCCTCTTGAATGACAACAACAGTAGGTGCATGGCCACACCAACTTTTATAATTTCCCCTCCATGGCAAGCACTATTCTGAGTTGAGACTATAATGTCATTCTTTCACTGTTGGGTCAAACCCTGAATCTCCTTAGCGGTCCTGAAAGAGCACCTACAACACATACACTGCAGTGGTTCAAAAAGGAAGCTCACCAACACCTTCTCAGGAGCAATCAGGGCTTGGCAACGTATGTTGGCCTTGCAATAATGCTCACATCACAATGATTAACCAGTCACAAACTTCAACCACTGGAACAATTCACAGTTTAACAAATCACTGTCAAGATTGATTTCATAACCACATTGCAGTGTATTTTACTCCTAGTACCTATTCTCATGAATTAGTTCAGTCCACATCTGCCTGGCTTTATAGGTGTGGTTTTTGCAGCCAGTGACAAGTAATGTGTTTTACAAAATGGTGAAATAAAAAGTGTTACATTACCATGGGACTAAGATAGAAACTGTAATGTCTCAAATGTAAACAGCAATTTTTATTATCTTAAAAATCGATTATGGAGCGGAGAATATAAAATTAGATATTCAGGATTAGGCAGTGTTTAGCAGCACTCATTTAACGCAGAGTAATTTTTTCATGTGTTTACACAACATCATCAATGGGATAAAAAGGGGATGTTCACATCAAATCAGTGATTTCTACTTGTTTTCTAACCTGAGGACTTCAACATCTCAGAGAGGCAAAAGGAATCACTGACAGCAGCTTTTGAATTTAAATGTAAATATTGGTATTTGCTGTGTTACCCAAAACACAAGACCAGTTTCAATGTCATTGTACCATAAAGTCCATACCATAAATTTCCAATGTGCCTACAGAAACCTCTTTAACTTTGTTGTGGTTAACACAAACTTCAACCTGCATGTCAGTGGAAATAAGGTATCTGTGGCTTTCCTAACTATGCTACCATGAGAAAAGTTATCTGCAGATTCCTGACTGTAAGAATTGCTTGCAATGACAAATAAGGTGCAAAAACATCTAACTCGTCAAAGAAACAGCTAATACTGTTTCAAAAGATATACATACTCATATGTTTGAACACAGAAATCAGTTTACATACTTTCAGATACTGCCTTATTCCATTTACACTATATGTATACAATGCAGCACATGTAAGAGAATGAAATTGTTGTAAACTTACCTTCTGCAAACATGTCAAATTGGAATCTCTGTGAAACATGTGGAGCATTGGAACACTACTGTTAACAGGAGAAAACAAAATGGTAAATAATTTGAATAGGCTGTATTGGAGCATTTCTGAGATTATAATATTCTACTGGGTATACTAAATAGTACCCTAATATTCAGAGCATTCAAAGTGTTAAGAAAACACAATTTATTTATTTTGAATTCAACAGTTAGAACACACATTAGTGAATGATTATAGTTGGAACACACATTAGTGAATGATTATAGTTGGAACATACTTCCTCTGTTGTATATTTCCAGCATGTTTTAAAGCAAAAATGTATAGCACAATAATGTACAAAAAAATCACCACTACTATGTGTGGATCTTGACTCTTTTACTAATTTACTTCTACATCTCAACAGGCATAAATTGGGTACAGTTTCTTGGGTACAGGTCCAGGCATGTCAACACCCAAAATTTCATAATCCATCTATGAGTCTTGACGAGGAGTATTAGCGATGTAGCTAGTTGTGGAATCATTAGCTCGTAGTCAGGAGCAGGAACCCAAGCTGACTTTGCTTTCCATGACTGAAGAACATGGAGGCTAATTGTACTATCCCCATCATTACCTCAGCTGAGGCCAGCTAACTGAGCAGAGACGAAGGAGTAAAGCTTTCCAATTACTTCTTGGATAAAATCACTAAGCTAGCAGCTACATTATTTACTATGCAGGGATACATAAACAGCAGAGATTTCCATTTGAAAGAAAACCGTTTGAACAAAGATTTTCAAATTCGAAGAAGAGTTCAATGAAAAGAGATGTGCAAATGCAGTACTTTGCTTGTTCTTTGCACTTTGATACATTCAATAGTTCGAGAATTATATGATATATTTTGTCATTAATTATTTATCACATCTGTCAAGAGACATAAAAGGTTGTTGGAAGAGCAGACTTAGCTTCATTTTTGCTGGTATAGCATTTATGAGGAAAAGGAAATACATGCAATACCAGACCACAAAATGAAGGCTGGAAAACCACAGAACTGTTTCAAACCTAGGGTTATTGGAAAAAGAAGGAACAATCCTGAAGATGGAAAATTGGTCACTAATTTTCCTGGAAAACCAAAAGACTGATTATTAGCCAGTGTGAGAAATTGTCCTCTGGATCATGTCAGATGGCTAGTAAACTAAAGAAAAAGCTGCAGAATATTTGTAAAAAAACAGGGCTGAGAAAATCAATTTTTTTTAAAAAAAGAACTGCGAATGCTGGAAATCAGAAAAAAAAAATCAGAAATTGCTGGAAAAACACAGCAGGTCTGGCAGTATCTGTGGAGAGAATGCAGAGTTAATGTTTCAGGTTCAGTGACCCTTTTTCATTCTTCAGATGAGAAGATCAATATTACTTGCTCATAACACAGCAACGTGTACCTACATAACACTTCTAGCACATTGAAATGTTGCAAGACAAGCTTTATCAAACAAAATTCAGTACCAAGTCACAAGGAAGTATTAGGGCAGTTACCAAAAGCTGGGTCAAAAAGGATTGTTTTTCTTAAGAAAAATCTTAAGGGTAGAAGAAAATTAAAATGTGGAGATATTTACAAAGGAAATTACACACCTAAATCTCTCAGCAACCTCAGGTAACACCACCAATGGCTGCACGATTAAAATGGAGAAAATTCAATTACAAATCTTGAAATATGTTCCCTGTGGTACTCATATCTTATAAATAAATCTTTTTCTTAAGAAACATCCTACATTGTTACCTACATTAATAACAAAATATTAACTGATGTTCTTGTTTTAAGAATAAATCAAAGCACAGAAGCGCCATTACATCAATTAAATTTATTGTTTTCACACTATGTACAAATTGCCACACCACAAATTCTGCTTCACGTCATGTAGGATCAATTTTGGTTACCGAGCAGAAAACCAACAGAAGGTGAATGAGGCATGAACAAAACTGCCACAAGGAGACCTCCCAATTTCTATATTGTCTATTCTTCATGACTGAGGTGAGCTAGCAGCAAGAAAAGTGCTCCTCATGGGCAGATTCTCAAGGACTTCTGGCAACTTAAAGGGGCGATCGATTGATCTGGAGACAGAGGAAGGGCATTAATACTGGCAGAGTCTTGAGGCTTTCCAGCATTTCAAACCATTCTTCCAACAGAAACTGGCACACAATAGAAACACTGGTGACAGAATCTCATCGTGCAGGTTTCCTTCTAATAGTAGTAATAATAACATTGTTTCTGCAGCAGAGCAAATACATGAAGTATGAAGGATAATATGACTACAGTCGGCATCCCTTTTAGATTGTATAGCTGGACATTGCCAGACTCGTCCCAGTATTTGAATCATTGTTAGATGACTCCACTAATGTATTTGTTGAGGATTCCAGATGAGCCAACTATCTTACTTTGTCACATTCCACAGCTGTGTCTGGGTTCCATAAAGTAAAAAGCCAACATGCAGCCTGTATTTCCAAACATCATAACTTTCTACGCATTGGCAAAAAAATGAGATGATGGACAAATGACATAACATAAAAGCATCATGGCAGCTGCCAGAAAGCATGCACAGACCTGCAGGAATGGAGTGGGACCCATTGCGATTCATGTAGTATATTGTTCTGTGAGAAGGAGTCTACAGGACAGTGTAAGTACAGTCAATGGTTGAATCTGAAACAACCTCCAATCTAGGCAAACTCCAAAATTCTGTTCTGCTGCTTCTGAATGTCAATGCACAAAACATCGAATGGGAGCCTTCCCAATGACAAGCCTAATAATTATATCTCAACCAACATCACTTAAACAGATTACCCGGTCATGTAACACACTGGTTGTCAGGTGTGGTATGCACAAATTGGAGCCATTTTTCTCAACAATGAAACTTAGCTTTGTTGTGAAGCCATTATATAAATGCAAGCTCTTTCTCACAAAACTACAGATGTGTTTGGTTTAAGTATCAAATTAATGCATTCCCCAACACGAGATTTATTACTGTAGACCCAGCAGAAAGGAGATTATATTTATCCCTCTTTGCCTGAGGGCAGTCATGAACTACTTTACAGATGAAAAATGCCCTATTTTACTAAACAAACAACAAGTACAAGGATTCCTTTGTATACCGTGGAAACCTACAAAACGTTACAAAGTTGGAGTAAATTGCACCCTTATGATAGTTGCTTATCACACCATTAGGTAGCACAATTGCAGCAGTAAGTTGTGTTCATGTTTGGAGCATTTCAGTACTTCTTTTTAGTGCATTACTTGATATATTAAGTAGGTGGAGGGCTAGAGTTTAATCAAGAACTGCTTACCCCTTTGCAAATCAATTCAATCGGCATCAATACCTGGGTAGAAAAGCGTTTCTTGACAAATCCAGCAGCTATAATCGCAAGCCTTCCAACTTCCTTGTTAGCTAGCTAAAAGCCTTCAACCTTATAAAAGGTCACATAAGACAATTTGCAATATACCAGACATTTACACTTGCAAAATGTCAACTCCAATGCCTTGCCTCAGACTTATCAATCACTAGTTGTTTAATCAAATCCTTAGGTAATAAAAGAGCACAGCAAATAGACATGGCCATGATGAAAAGGATCTTGCCTAAGGAAAGGGAGTAGACCAAGATCTTCCCTGTAATTATTTCATGAAATAATCTGACCTCACAGGAAGTTCTTGGATACTGCAGTGCAGAAACAAAGCTCTGAATCAAAAGCTGTGTCATTGAAGAAAAATGCAAAAAGTCATAGTGAACTTTAAAGTCCTGAGAAAATGTGAAACATGTCATATCTATTGGCATTCTCCAGAGCCTCATCAGATAGACCATGTCCAGCATCAATACTGGAGCTGTCAAAGTGGCTGGACCTTAGAATATGGCAACTGATTGGTTTGCCTTTCCCTGACTATCCTGCACAATAAAGAGTTAAAGTACAGCTCCACATTTCTGAAAGAGCTCTGATTATAATCTCCTGTCAGAAATACAGAGCTCTTTCGATGTAAAAAGAAAAAGAATAGTAATTTCTATGCATGTTTTTCTCATTTTTGGTTTGCAACTGTGAGCTGAAATTGAGATTGAACTTTGGATGTTGAGCTGCAGTTTGTTTATAAAAAAAAAATCAAACAATCTGATATTTGCTAAAGGGAACTGGCCTGGAAAGGTAAGTGCAGGTTAATTATTGTTTTGACACTGGGGATATTAAAAGTACCTGAGATGCATCATGATCAAAGAATTTTACATCTGAAAATGGGCATCAAAGGGAGGCCAGTGTCAGCTAGTCAAACAAAGAGAATGTTGAAGGAAAAAGAGAAACCATTGATTAAAGTGGTCTGGACTGGCTTTTGGTTAGAAGACACTATAGCTGTGAGAGCTGCTGGATGGAGTTTTGGTTGCTCTCTAGATTATATTAGTTATAGGATATTTGAAAGTTCTGAGAAAAGAACCCCAGTCTGCAAGATGTAAGTAAAAGTCTCTAGCAGTCTGCGGAAGCTGTTTGCATTGACTGGTGACTTCAGAGTTCAAGATATACAATCCCACATGCCTGTGAACAACATAATATCCAAGGACTACATGCAGGTTTCATTTAAAATTGCTTCGGTGAACTCGCCAGTTACAATTCAATTACTTTCATTTAATTTATTCCTTAAGTGTGCCTGTTTGTTTGTGCGACAGAGTGGGGGCAATGATCAAAGAAGATTTGGTTGAAATCATAGGCATTAATTAGCTTACCTTGTTGTTTAGCTTGGCTCTGCTGAAGTTACAGTATTAATAATAAATTGTTAATTTCTGTTCAAGCTATAAACCTGTTATCAGTTATTCATAAAGTCTGGTTAAGAACAATTGGGCAATTTTGAACATCATTGAATACTTTAATTTCACTGTGTTGCGATATCCAGTGTTAATGAGTCTGATTTGGTCGGGCTTACTATCCCTGTGTTATAACAGTTGGTAGAACTTCATAGACAGTTTTGTAGCACACGCTAAAAATTATAAACATCATGAAGATCTCACTATGAAAGATGCATACATGCCTAAGGATGTTAGGTAATAATAGGTGGTA